AGAAAGGTAGATATTTATTAAAATGAAACCAAATTTTAAAAGCTATTACAATAACAAATCAAATCTAATAGCTTAGGGATATACCTACTGAATGAAGGCTGAAAGATTTAAAGTAGGCTTTTAGCACCAGAAGGCAGAACACAGATGCATTTTCATAAATGAATATGGGAGTATTCTATAGGCAGAAGGACACCCAGATGATTACTCCATTGTTTTCAATCCATTTTTAATTATCATTAGAAAAGTGTTCTTCTGCAGGCCCACAGTAACAGAAACTAGATTTAGCTTTGTGATCAACACACAAGGTAATCTACACATTGTTATTGTAAGATATTTATTGTCCATATTATTTCTCAAGTCCTTTAAAACTGACTAAACATGCACAGAGGAGCAGCACTCATCTGCAAGTGCTGCAGTTAAGAACAGAACAGGAAAGACAAAAGAACATCTTATACCCTTAATCTTTCATTTTACTCTTGCAGTAATTTCTAGTGAATTTATCTGCCCTCATACCACATTGCTTCTGAGCTGTAACATGTATGGAGACAGGACAGTTAACTTATAAAGAGGTGTTAGCTTCAAGACCTTCAAGTATAACCCAGTCACCAGTCATTTTTAACTTCCAGTCTTTTGTAGCACAACATAGTATCCCATTAATTGTAGAGCATACCTTCATGATGAACATATGTGATGTCAGTAAACTTTGAAGTCAAATATTCTACTTGTAAATCAAAGCATCTTGATTATTTAAGTACTAGATGACACTGCACCTGAGATCTGGCGAACTGAAGTGTGAATTTTTCTGTTCCTTACAGATATCTTAAGCAAAATGAAGTAGCCCAAATATTTTATAAGTTACATTACCTGTCAAAGGAATGGAACTGTACAGGCTGCTCAGCAGCTCCATCGCCAAGAACTCCAAGGAAGGTTGGTGGCAGAAGAGCAGCATCCACTGCAGTCCCATCAGCTGGTGTGCTTACCAAACTTCTCAGGATGTCCTTTACATTGACATTTTTTGCAGCTGGCACAGAAGGTGCAGGCTTAGAATCCTCAGTTCCTGTCTCACTTCTGCTCTCCTGAGACTTATTTACTTCTAATGAGAGCGTGGATAGTACTTCACTGATTGCATCTGGACCTGCACTGACATTCAGACGTCCTGCTTCAGCAACACTACCAGAACTGTTTGTTTGCCCCGAAGACGGTTCCTCCCCAAGACCAGAATCCCTTCTCTGTACAGATGCTGTACTTCCTGCATCTTCAGTGGAGGCTGAAGCACCGAGAGCAGCATATGGGTTTTCCACATCTGTTCATAACAAAAACAGAAAACACATTTTAAGTTCATTATTAACAGAATTGCATTCACCACATTGGCTCCTAAAGAAGTAACATCAATAGGTGACAAGTGATATAACACAGCTCTAAGTATTTCCTCTTGCCCACTTAGAGATTTAATAATATCTGTAAGTATTTAAAGGAAACTTAGAACAGAAAAAATTCCTTCTGATTTCTGAGAAGCCTGAAAAGTTATAACTTCCAAAAATTGAAACAAGGAAATAGAAGATACTGACTCAACAGTCAAAGAATGAAAATTAATTTATTACCCTAAAGAAGAACAGCAGAAACATCTTAAAATGAAAACAAAAATCTGCCAGTCTATGCCTATGCATACTTAACCTTACACAAAATAGCAAGTGTTCACAAATACTTAGCTACTTCACTGAGATTAACCACCTCTACACAGCAAAATCAACCTACAGAGTAGGTTCTTCTCAGATCAGAAAAAGATGAATTGAGGCAAACTGAATAGTATAAGGTTTATTTAAGTGGTTACAATGCACATATTTCTATGCAATTTCACATAGCCTTCTACAGAATTTTAAGCTGCATAAGCAACGTTATTTCATTTGGCTAAATAAATAACAGTTCACCTGTAGCAGGAGCTTCATTATTTTCATTCTCTGATTCCTTGAATGACTGGCTATGGTTTGGTGGTCGTCTTTCATTCTGAGGTTCTAGTATATCTCTGTATTTCGAAACCATGAGCACAGAAATAAAATATACAACAGCCAAAGCCAAAAACTGAGCCTGTTTACTATCCTCCTGTAAAAAAAGGATACACACACAGATTTTTCCACTATAATTTCAGCAGCATGTTTATTTTTCTGTGAAGTATGCCCAGTGCTACCATAAACAGACAGAGTAAGCTGATACGTCAACAATGGAAGAACAATATTCTCTAGTCACAGTTTGTCTCACCTATAAAGCTAGGGAATACAGCAACTGTATTCAAGTGGTACTAATCCTTTCATTTTTCATTTATAAATATGACAACTTTGACTAAGGTTGTGTGTTTTGACTACTTGCTTTGAATTAGTGCAGGGACTAGGTCCCCTTTATTTATTTACAGGTGTTTCCTCTATTACATTTCCTCAAATGTGCCAAGATATTAACAACATTTGCTGTGAAGTACAACCAGGCAAGTGTACTAAACAAAACTGTAAAAGCATTCATAAACTATTACATATTAATGAAGGAAGTGGAACAAATTCCAGAACCAGTGTTAAGGTTTTATTTCATCATCAGATTGTCCATATGGATATACTGTACTATGTACAATTTAAACAAGAATTGGCAAATACGCATTTGCATTACAGCTGTAACTTTATGAAGAGATTTTAAGAAAATCTTAAAAATAAATCTTTATATGAACTATGCTAGGTACCTCCCCAGAGTACTCAGTCACTCCTAGTGGAACAGAGGGAAGAGCCACGTCCCAGATCTAGGATTTAGCCTAAGCCTGCCCTCTTTGGCAGGAAGAAAAGCTGTGTACATTTTGGGATCACAGGAAAATTGATGTGGATCCTCACTGAACAATCAGTAAGAGAGAGGGTGTTTGGTTTTTTTCTTCCCCCTCATTTACATAAGGGCTCAGATAGCATTGAATTTACCCCTCTGAGCAGTTCAAGGAAGTTAAACTATAAAGCTCATTTTATCATTATTATAAGCATCTATTGAAGCCTCACATTCCATGAAGAGGTCTTTAATAAGCTATACTGGAAAATGCTTATACAAAGTTCTCTATTAAGAACTAGATAACATAGCTGGATCCTATCTGTTAAACGCTGAAAAAACAACCTATATTCCCCTCTGCTCGACCCAAATCCTTAACTTGCATAGAACAAGAAACAGTAAGCTAATAACAGGTTAGCATCAGACAAGCACAGTGTGAGATTGATTAAAGTCCCTTACAATGGTAAGGATTATAAAGAATTTTCTTGCTAGATTAATTTCTGCAAGACAGTTTCCAACTGTACTTAATAAACTTGTGATCCAGGGAATTAGCACTATCCCTTCCTTATATTTTCTGCTATGTTTGTAGAACTCCTTGAAATAAGGTTCATATCCTACTGGAAGTAATACTACTGATGGTTAAGTGGAATCCATCTGAATTCCTTCTATACAGGTTCAAATGATGCAAATCACAATTTTTTTTGTTGAACACCATGTAAGAAACTTCATACAAATCAAACAGAAAATATTTAGTTACAAGTATAAGCAGCTCAGATAAAAACTATTGCAAAACAGATCTTTTAAAAGTGTACTTTTTCTCCACAGCTCAACATAGCAGCCAAAAAGCAGAGTTAGTGCAACATTTTATACGTATTTCTGCAAACCAGAAAACCTGGTGGATTAGATATGGGAAAAAAAAAAAAAAAAAGCAGAGGTTGTGTGTAGATTTTAATTTTTTTTAAAGAAAAAATGAGTGGACAAAATGAGCTTGATTTTGAAGACCGCATCATAAGGATTATTTTAATTTCTACCAGTATGAAAGATCAACTTCCTGTTACTCTTTTGCACACTGATACTGAAGTAGGGGTTGAAAGAAGCTTGTTTCAATCAATAATTGTTGTAAAGATAAAAATCAAAGAACTTTCACTGTTCTGGAGAGAACAAAAGTTACTGTGTAAATCACTAGACTTGCTAAATAGTCCAATTATTGTAAAATAAGTTCTGGTGTCCAAGCGATGGCCACCAATGACTCATAACCATCAGAGCTGCTGTATTTGCTTACAGAGGTGTTTTTTTAAGCAATCAATCTCAATTTCCTCAATATCAGCTATAAAGTTGCTGACATAGTGCAAAGATATTTTTAGTCAATTCAAGACTAAAAAAAAAAAAGTATGCATATTTACAGCACAACGCACACAAATTGGTTCCTCTGAGGGGAAGTAAAGGAATTAGAGATGACCTCTAATTTCTAATTAGCTAGAAAGACACTCCTTTTTCAAAAAGCATACATATACATCTTTATGACACATAGTATACATAAATATTTTATGTACAGCATGTGAAAGTATGTATCTGTATTAAACACAATATATTTAATATACAATAGGCAGAATTCCAGAGAATCAGCTCTAAGGAACACAACAAAGAGCCTGATCAGCAGGCAGCTATTTTCTCCTCTCCATCTTTCCAATCCTAAACACTAAAACAGCTGCAGAGTACCATGAGTTCCTAATTACCGTAAGCAGTATTCAGCTTTTGTAAATTCAATTTAGCCAAACTGCAGAACACATAGCAAGTGTTCAGCAAAAAGATACATACAGAAATCTAGCTACAAAGAAAACATTATTGGTAACTTACTATATCTCTGAACACTACTGCTCGAAGTCGATTAATATCCATATCCTGCAGAAGTCTGTCATGGTCTCGTATTGGAGAAATGCCACCAGTCACAATGTCCACTGGACTCTATTTAAAAAAAAAAAAAAAAAGAGTGATTGTTCCAGATTTTTATTTTTAAAAGCTGTCTACCAAGAATTGTTAAGTGTGTACAATCACCCACTGTACACCATATTGTCATAACTAGAGCAAAAAGATCAGATATGCATTTCATTTTTAAAGGGAAAAAAAATTAAAAAACAATCTGGCAAATTCTTGTGACAGATTTATTTCACTGTGAAAGGTTAAATATGTAAGTGTTAAATTCACATCTTGGAAAAACTACTTCAGGATTTCCAATGTTCATGCCCTTCAGCTCTACCGAAGTGTCAGTGGTGCAGCTATAAATCTAAAAACTTACCCCTCTGTACACAGTTAATAATTAATGACTTTTGTTTTCCTCAATGTGGTCTTGTACTTGCCTTTGCTGAAGACTTTCCTGTTCCTGGGAAGCCCTGCACTGTTTTTTGGTTCTTCATGATGTCTCCAATAGGCTTCATCTGCACATGCTGCTGACACTCCAAGCAATTTCTTACTGCTACCGCACATACTTGAAGGGAACACAAACGTTAGGAATTACTCCAGGAAATAGTATTGTCTATATCCCTTACAGAGATGTATAATACATTTCTGTTTATCACTCAAACTAAAAAGTTTAAGCACATCAGTAAGATGATATTTTGCTTCTATAAATTTTAAATAGTCACAAAACAATGCTCAAAATTCTTTAATAATCTATAACTATTAATTAATACTAAACTATTAGAACACGTATGCTGTATCTAATGAATACTTCAAAGTGAGTAAGTTAGCATCCCTCATTGAAATTTTACCATGCATACAACCCATGGGGCAGGGAGGGTGAAGACAGCTAAATTTCACAGACTAGCAAGGAAGAAAGACAAGTGATACACAAATGACAACATTTGCTTCACAATGCTCTGTTACTCCAGGACTAAGCGTTCTGAAGTTACATGATTTATTTTTTTAGCTTCACAATTGTACCTGTGTCATCTTCTAATATTATTTTCAAAGGAAAAAAGAACTACCCCACCTCTATACCCGCTTGCATCCCATAAATCTTGTTCTACCTGCACAAAGTTTTAATTGCCTAGAAAGGGAGAGGAAGGCTAGTTACTGTTGAGGCTCTGAGCTGCTCTGGCACTCATGCAAATTAAAACTTTTAATTACAAAAAGTCTTACAGCATGCAACTAGCATGAATATTTTCCTCCCGTATTAACTAACTGAACCCCGTTACAATCTTGTATGTTCTCATTTCCAGAACAGTCATTACTTTTTTTAGGCAATGACCACTTCCTTTCAGTCCCATTTGGTGCAAACACACTATAATACCAGATACAACCATTGTCCAGTTTGAACCCTACTCTTTAGAAATTTACATCTCTAGTTTTCACCACGCCTTCATCTACTGCCCTCAAGAGTTAAACCTCTTTTCTATGTATTCTAAAGGTTTATGGTTTTGTATATAGTACAAGATTTCTTTTTCTTTCAGCTGCTATATTCTCAGCCTTAACTGTTTGGGGAATTTTGGCAGAAGAAATATCACTCATGGATAAAATGAAAATATGCATCCACAACAGTGAGGCTACCAACCTTAATAATTTATTTTATTTAAACTTTTTGAAAGAGGAAAAGAACTCCATGTATATGCATTGCAGAATATCGTAACAGTAAAAGAGTAAAAGATCCAAAGCTTCTTTGACTAAATTTAATTTTAATTCAACAGAAAAAGGACAGAAAAAAAAAGCTAACAACTGCTACCTAGTTAGTGACAGCAAGCTCCTGCGCTCATTAAGTGGTTTTATTTGCTTACCCAGACGAAGACATTGTCGCAGAATTCCTCCAGATGACATATTTTTCTCAGACTCAATTTCAGTGAAACCAAGAGAGCTTGCAAAAATTAGCACATCCACAAGGCTGATTAATCTCTGGAGAAATGTTAAAGATGCTTCTACTGAAAGTCCTTGAGTTGGCTCAATATTCTCCAATTCATGCTACACAGAAAAAAATTGAAAGCAACATTTACTTCTTCACAAAGCTGATATTCCTGCAACTTAAGTGAAGAAAAATGTATGCTGGAAGTCCATTTTCAGTCACATTCAAAAATAGTAATTAGTCATATTCTAGGAACAATCACTAGTATTGGGATTTAATTCCATTCCAGACCACTGTGGGACAATGAAGGTAGACAACTTCTTTTTATGTCTTCAGGCAAGAGGGCAGGCACCCAATTTATCTTAGGGAAAGCATGGAGGTAGCAAAGGGAGGAAAGAGAAGCTTGTGGAAATATCTCACATGCATTCCTGTTTCCCGAAAGGATGGATATAATAGTTAATACACTGCATAAAGAAAGGCATTCTCGCACAAGAGATAGATTTTCAAATAAAAATGAAATTTCTTACAGTAGCAGATGTGGCAGCAGAAAGCAATGGCAATATACCACCACAAGCCATGATCATGTTGTCCATCACTTGAGAGATGAGGTGAATTGTGTTGTGTACAAATACGACATTGTCGCTGCTATTCACAAAGTCCATCACAGTTTTTGTAGAATGGCTGTCCAAAAAAACCCATTCAGAATACAGCTTTATTTTTGAGGTATTTTAGCATCTTTATGCTTTCATAGAACTAAAACCAGGCACTTAGCAGTGGGGCAGCAAATATCACATGACCATAGGGTAAACTGATGTACCTTAAACTAAATCTAAAACTATCTTTCCCTTCAGTTTTTAAACTTCTCCAGATCATAGCTCACTAAAAACATCAAGATGTGTGTTAATGATCATTTGTATAATGATACACTACAGGCTGGTCTATGATTACTTGCTATAGCAAAAGTCACTGTATCTATCAGGCAATACAATAAAGTTTCCTGGAAATGTGAATAAGATTTGAACTTAAATCTTTGGAAAAATAAAGAAAATACTAAGGGCTCCTCAGAGAAATTAAAAATCACCAAAACACAAAACCTTAAATCCTGTTAAATATGGAAATAGATTTTCAAAACAGAACCTAAACCAAAAATACATTTTAGTTATAACTGATGATGTCCTGAGAGGTTAATTTAATTGCATCCTAAAAATTATAGTCAGACAAAAATTCACGTCTGTTTAAATTGTTTTAAACATTTAAATACTATTTCTTCATCCTTACATTCCTTTTTATTGGGTCAGTACAGCTATATGGTTCAATTTAAATTTAACATCCTCTACTACAAGCTAATAATAGACACCACTCTTATTTAAGTCATTAAATCTTAACATTAAAATGCAGAATTACCACTGTTTTCAAAATTTCCATTTTTATTAAATTCATCTTGAAGATTACATTCCAAATCCCTGTTACAAGTTAATTTCTAAATGCATAGAACATCTCTTTGTTCACAGAACCCTCTCAAAGCATCAACACTGTGTGTAAAGAGAGAATAAATACTATTTGGGATAGATATTTTTTTTTAGCCCGTATTTAGTTACTATTAAAAGATGCAGGCCCTTACATACACTATGAAAATAAAAACCATGGTCCGATAAAAATCAACAGCAAGATTGCCAGTCACGTAAATGTGGCCAGGATGTCAGTCAATATATATGTGCAGGCCCTCAACCAATACACACCTATGTTTGTAAGGAGTCTTAAAAAAAATCTGAGAATACTTGGGTAGAGGTCACAAAATACATAAGGCTACTGAAGGGATAAAATAACAGATGTGCAAAATTCAAACAGCAGCTTCAATGCAGTTTCAACAAAAACTCAAGTTAATTATAACTGAAATACCAGTCTAGATCATTCCATATAAAGCATAAAATTTACCTTCTCCACATCTGTATATCTGTTTCTATGGAAAAGAGTAAGTCTGTGAGCAAGCGCTGGTGCATCAGTGACCACTTAAACTCAGGAATACGGAACACAGTTGACCTAGAGTCTCTCCTCTGCCCATCTGATGTAGCAGCTAGCTCTTGTCCTGAAGAATCTTGCTGCCTTGAGGGCTGAATACACAGTTTGCAGACAAAAACAAACCCCACACTCTGGTTATTAGTTTCCATGGCATACACTGAAATACATTTAATAGACTTGAGATTTTAAATATGCAATAAGTTTAGACTGTGTAGATGGTCACAAATAAAGCTAAAACTATTACACAAATGTTATTTACTGGATAAACCAAACCTACAAACTAGTTTACAGCTGCACTACCACACCTGTCACTCTAGGCATACACAAGCAGCAACCCAACCTTACCACAGGGGGAGGATATGTTGCTGTAGACAGTGGTTTTCCTCCTTTAAGGAAGAATGGTGCAGAATGAAGAGCATCCGTTAGCAGGTATCTCTGCAGAAGGGAAGTACTCAAATACATGACTATTTAACCATGAAAAGCTGAGTTAGAAACTAAAGACTAGAGGGGTGGAGCACTGTAGCACGCAACAGAAGCCTAGTTTTCAATTACACTTCAACAAAAATGATAAGCTGACATGATGGAATGACAATCCTATAAAATTTTATAGTTTCAAATGTATATAAATTTTTTTTGTGTACCTCCTGCAGAGTAGCTAGTGTAAAAAATATTTTCCCAAGTTCCATCAGAATATGAAAGAAACTTAGTGCTATTTTTTTTCTGCACAAGCAATGTTCACTTCTCAATAATTATAAGAGTTGAGATTGTAGGAGATCAGAGTGAAAAGTGGAGTTGACTAAAGAAGAATAAATGACAGATAAAATCCTCTCAGAATAGCTAAATGTTTCTTTCAACTCTTCAAAATTAAGAAGTAACAGCACAGATGAAGTGTCCACTAGCCAAATACTCAGTCTCCATCAGCATCCATAAGTGGAGGTACAAAGAATAAAATCTTAGAACCCAGTACACGAATTAGTAAGAATTATGGCTATTTTAATCAAAGATTGAAAGTATTCTTTTGATAACTCACAAAATCCACACACACTAAAATCCCCACAATGTGTATGGGAACACCTTTTAAAACATCTCATAAAATAACAACTTTCTTTTATTTTTAAACTAGACAGATGGACAGGTAGAATTTACCTCGGGTATGGATCTGGGGGGCAGAGGTGCTTCTAGACATGCGTTAGCTTTCAGTTCCAGTTTTTCTGTATCTGATGCAACACTAGAAACATCAAGCTTGGCAATTCTTTTGTCAGAGGCTCCAGCAGGCTCTGACAAATGTGCATTTGCATTTTCTTCAGATGTTTTAGTTTCACTAAAAAGAATCTTTTCTTCCTTCAGCTTCTTTTTCCCTTCTGAATCTGGTTGAGTTGCTACTTCTTGAATTGCAGAACTCACTGTCTCTGGTAAAGAAGTCAGTTCTTGTTTTTCCCCATCCACATCTTTAGTATCTTTGGACTTTAAGAGCACAGATTCAGGTTGCTTCTCTATTGCTTTTTCCTGCTTTGTCGCTTCACCTTCATTAGAGTTGTGTTCCTTGTTTGTTTCTGAAAACTCTTCTGAAGGTAAAGGCATACTACTTTCCTCTTTCAAATCAACAAAGTCATCTTCATCTTCCACTTCTGCTGTTGACTTTTCTAGTCGTTCTGGACTTACAGGAGTTTCTCCTCCCAAAGTAGTTTGCATTGCTAAAGAAGCAGCAGTGACAGCTACTGTTTCTTCCACAAGCTCGTCAACTTTGCTCGGAGAACCTTCAATTGCTTCAGCTATTCTAGTACTAATTTCTGAAACACTGGGCTTTATTGCTTCTGGTTCTGGAGAAAATTCTGCACAAGACAATGCTTTTAAATCCTGTGTAGTCTCCCTGTCTTCCCCTTCTAACTCCTCACTGTGATTAGGCATTGAATGAGTTTGTTGGTCATCATCTGATGAGGTATTTGTCTCCTTTTTTTCAGTACTGCACTCCTTCTCATCATCAATAATGCAGGAGGGAGCAGCAGCATCTTCTTTTAACTCCAAACATTGTTGCTTTCCCTTGGTTTCAGCTTCTTTGCTGACTCCAGAGATTGTTCTAATTATAGTTGAAGAATGTATTCCACTCCCTTCACCTCCTTTCCTTTGGTACTCCCTATACATTTGAGAAAGACTCTCTTTGTGCATTTCAAAAGTTACCTAAAAGAATAGAGTTGAAAGTACATTAAAAATTACATATTACTGACTGTTTTCTCTGGAGAAAAAAAAAATTCTTGCTCAAATCACAAAGTTATATTACAAATTTATATTGGATACTGTCCTCATGATAAAAAATAATTTCATGTTGGAGAGCACTTCAACTGAGAGCAAGTTTTTCTTAAGCGTACTTGTTATTTCTGGCCAAAAGAAAGAAAAGAAAAGGAAAAAAAAGTAACATCAGAGTCAAAAAATCCTAAACTGATCCGAAGGACAGGAAATTAAATGGAAGCAGATAAAAATGCGGCAGCATAACATCCAGAGAATTACTAAATTTGAGATAGCTGACAATTCCAATTTTTTTGTAAGGGGGGGACACTGTGAAAGTAGCTTTGAGTTGTTTACATTAAAAAAAAAATACAATAACACAAAGTCAAAGCAGAAAGAAGTATGAAACAAAGCCAAAATCCTGGGGATCTCCAAATGATACCTAAAATTCCCCAGAGGACTCTTCCTCTTGTGAATGTTATTCACCCAGTCTAAAAGGCACATGAAAACAGTTACACAATCTGATTGAAGTGAGAAGAGCTTCCTACAGATGAGCTGAAAGACATTACTATCCAGACAGAAAAATTCTTTATACACATACTGATAAAACTAATTTGCCCAAATAAATAGCTGTGTGTTGACAGGAAATCTCACTAGACTAACTCAAGTTTTTATTACACTATCATTCAATTTAGTTTATCCATACCTTTCTATTTAGGATTTAGATTTAGCTTATGTAACAGAAGTGTTTACTTATCTGTAAGCTTAGTTCTCGAAATTTTCCCAACATATAAGCTGCAGCTGAGGAGTTTATTTTTTTAAAACCATTTTCTTTATTATAAACATTTTCTAAAGAAAACAACATTTTACTAAATATACAAATGCACATCCTTTTATTCTCTTAACATACAAAACTCATTAATCTGGATCTCATCTAAAAATTCTGTGTACATGGTATTCAAAGTGATGGCTAGTCAGTAGTAATATTTTCTCTTAAGATGCTACATGTAAGTCAAAAACTAACTATAAAGGTTAATAAGGTACCAGAAATTATAGTTAACAAATCAGAGAGGGGCACAGAAAGAATGAAGGTAGAAAGGACTATTTTTGGCAGGTGGTGTTGTCAACATTAGCTTTTTAACATACTATTTTCTCCATCAATCAAATATAAAGTACTGTAGGAGCAGTGTACTATTCTAACACATGACTAGAAGCATGTTATTTGTTCAAGTTGATTTAATTGAAGATTGAGTCTCTAGCAATAGAACTAGGATACCTTTCTCCTCGTGTTTACAGAAAAAAAGAAAAAAGGTCTTCCTGTACTAGTTTTAAACCAGTTATGTACAAACAAAAAAGGACGAATGATTACAAATGACTGAAAGTTCATCCACCTATCACAATGGATCTATAAAATTTTGATGATAGGGTATTGCTAAATAGAGTGTGTGGAAGACATTAATATTTTAGAAATAAATACTTCCTGAACTGTGCCACAGTCAGGATGTCAAAAGCAACTCAAAATAGATCATGCTAATAAGGTCTCTCTTGCACTTTTAATTTGTTTTCAAAAATATGATGAGGCAAAGCTGCTACTTTCAGGCAAATCTTTACTTTTCTGAAGAAAAAAATCTCGACAACTTGAGCTTATCTCCAGCTAGCTTCCTTTCTTCTCTCTCTTTCTCTCCTTGTTGCTTCCTCCATTTCCAAAACTACTAAAAAGTTTTATTTCAACAAGTACTAAAGAGATATTCAGCAAATACAAACAGTGTTGGTTTATTTCGGCAAAACTTGTCATATGTACTTCCCAGAAAGCACACTGACCCACAATATGCAGTGTTACCTACATAATGCAAGTTTAGCTGTAACAAATCTGTGATAACATAGCTACCTTTACTCATTTCTGTATTCAGCATCAGACTTGGTATTGCAACATTCATTTTGAAAAATACATGGGAAAAATGATTCCTCAGAAGTATTTGCAGGCTTTAGCTACACCACATACGAACTTTAACACTGTTAAGCTACCGTACGAGATCTAGATTTTACTCTGGTTATGCACTGCTTCCAACTGTTGAACAAGTCTCAGGTCTAGTCTCAAAATCTTATTTCTTTCCTTTTTTTTTTTTTCCTTTTTTTTTTCCTTTTTAGTGGAAAGTGGTAAATGAGGGAGACAAATATCAAATTCTATTACTGTTGCTGCCATCTCTTCCCAGTACAAATGGGGATAGGCACAATGACACCAAGATGATCACAAGAGAGTGGCTGGAAGGACCTGTTACAGAACATTATTTTCTTCAGTGCTCAAACTTGAGCGCAATGACTCACAGAACATGTTCAATAATAGCAACAATTCAATCTTAATGTGAACCACAGAGTTGTTTTGCAGGGCTGGCAGTTACTAAATCTACCTTGCAAAAAGCACATTCACAGTGTTGCAAGAGTTTCAGCAAGTAACACTTGATGCTTACACTGGTCCTTGCACAACACAAGCTTTTACAGCAATATAAAGTTCTAAGTTCTGGCAGCCCTATCTATGAAAGTGCTTTGATAAATTACCTACCTGGTTCAAGTAAATTGCAAGCATCAAGGAATATAGCTTTAAATGCATTCTAAAAGCATATCATCAGCTGTGTTACAGCTGCTTTCCCCTAGTACTTCAAGGAATCACTGAGGTTAAGGTCAGAAAGTAACATCAGATCATCTAGCCCAACCCTTGATTTTAATCCCCTTTCCTACACATTGAGCCCAGTAACATGAACTGGATGGCAGGATCCAGAAAGTTGTCCAGCCTTGGTTCCAGAAATTAAGAGATGAAATCTATTACCATCAAGGAAGGAAAAAAAAAAAAAATCCTTCTTAATTTTGAAAGTCTAGCTTCACTTTCTAGTCACTAATTATGTCTGCATTTCCAAGTTATTCAAAACACCTCAATGAGGAAGAATTACCATGTTTTCAAGGTTTTTTTTTTCCCCCTTTAATATTTTAAAAGCCCAAAAGATGGAGAAGTAACAGGACCTTCTAAAAGAATGAGTTTTCATTCTGAAGGACTAGAATCCTTCCTGTGACCCCCTTTTGCAACCTTTTCAGCTCTTCAAAAAATCTTTAGTAGTAGTGAATATCCATATTTTCATGCATCATTCCAGTGTAAGTCTCATTAAACTCATATGTAGGAGTAAAAGCAACCTACTTTATGGCTTCTCACTTTCCACTCCACAAACACATTCTACAGTGCTGGCAACTACTTTAGGAGAAATGGCCAGTTAGTTATATCTCAGTTTGTATAACCTGTGATGTACTCTTTTTTTGTAACGCTGACTTTTTTCTAGTGTGCTGCCAAACCAATCCCCTTTACAAAAGCCTATCACAGCTTCAGACATTCTCTTACCAATTAAGCTGATCATCTTGTTAACAGCATTAAACCAATCTTGCTTAAAAACAAGTCAAATCCACTCTCTATAAATTCAGGGTTGTGAGCTTGCTTTTACTTTCCTCCCTCCCCTCAGGATCCTGAACTCCACTATCTCATGGTCACTGCAGCCAAGGCTGCCTTTGACCTTCACATTCCCAACAAGCCCTTCGTTGGTGGTGAATATGAGGATCCAGTAAAACACGTCTCCTCATTGGCTCCTCTATCACTTAGAGGAGGAAGAAGTTGTCAAGGAACTCAAGGAACCTCCTGGATTGCTGATGTCCTGCTGTGTTGTCCCTCCAGCGTATATCAGGCCCGTGAGGGCCAGGGGCTACAAACATGAGGTTGCTTCTACGTGTCTGTAGAGGACCTCATCTGCTTGTCCTTCCTAGTCAGGTGGCCTGTAGCAGACACCCACTATAATGCCCCTTTTACCTGTCCTCTCTGTAATCCTAATCCAGAAACTCTCAGTTGGCTCCTTATTCATCCCCAGACAGAGCTCCATGCACTCCAACTGCTTTCTCACATAAAGGACAACTCCTGTTCCTCATCTTCCCAGTCTATACTTCCTAAGGAGCTGATATCCATTTCATCACTCCAGTCATGGGAGCCATCCCACCCCACTTCCGTGATCCTAACAAGATCATTATATTCATGTCATACTTCATATTATGTTATGGAAAGCTTCAAATTTTCTGGACCCTCATTAGCAGCTTCACTGCATCATTAATAAATACACCATAGCCAAGATTCCAGTCATTCTTAGCAGCTTAAATTCTTATTTCCTTGGCAAACAATGGAGTCTCCCTGCCTTCAAGCTCTTTCCTGCATATCATAACTTCTCATTTAATTTTAAAGACACTTAAAATTTCAGTGCTGGAAGAAAAGTTCATCTAGATCTAAGATGCCCTATTTTTTATAATCCCCAAAATCACAAACCAAATTCTATCTAAAAAATAGCCACTGTCTCAGCAAAGCCACTCAGTATTTATTAGCAATATATACTTCTCTTATTCATTCATTATTCAAAACCTTGCCATGCTACTTTCTCTCTTTGATATCTTAGGAGAGTTTCTTGTTGCATGTTTTATTTTTCCTAATAACCTACATGTGCTACCTTAAAGTCAGATAGGCACCACAGGTATTTGTATTACTTTTCAACATTAACATATGAATCATGAATTACAAACTGAGCAGTTTTGTTTTTCCAACTAAGACTGCCAAAAGTTGCAAGTATGACTTCTACTGACTGTATAGGTAACCAACTTTGCATCAAGTTGATCTTTGCCCAGCTAGGGTCAACAGTTAAAAACACAATGTATGGTACAGGGATGTAATATAATTTCACAATCAGTCTCATCTGAAACAGGGAATAGACAATGGTTCCAGAGCAACACTCCAGGAAAAAACTGTGCTCTTCAGGATTGTTAATTGCCACTACAAAAGGAAAAAAAAAAAAAAAAGAGAAAAAAAAAGAGTGGCAAGAAGGTCAATACAGACAACTTATCTCTATAGATGGGCGATGTAAACTTATGGACAAATTCAA